GAGTGTTGAAATTTGATATTGGTACAGTTATACTTACTTGAAATTTTTGTTATCTGTTCAAACTGTGGCGTCTTTAGACAAGTACCAATAGTAATAACGAGTGTGATAACAACGCAGACTTTTTCCAGTGTAGTGATTCCAATAGCGATGGTAAACATTGCAAAAATTAGATACCAGTGAATAAGATTCGGATGCATTTGAATATTGAAACACAGAGAGTATGTTTCAATGTATATAAGAATCTACATCTCAAGTTTGGTTTCGAGAGAAACAAACTATTACGAACAACATAAGATTTGACCGAAATTCCTTTCTCAACTTTACGTAAATTAGTCAAAAACAAACCTTATGAACGCAAGACGCGATGTTATACTCGTACAGGATTACCAAAACTTTCAGATGGTCATCTAATAAAATCATTGAAAAAAAAACAATATACGACTGTCACAAAAGCAATGAGATTCCTACAACTGAAATCATAAGGGATTGTTAATCCCTTCGTGTCTGTGTCAACGTCTTCCAGGAACCTGTGTACGTATTTATATTTTATGTCGAAATTATTCACTTCACCCTTCAACTCGGAAAGCCGCCCTAAATAGTCCTGAAGATGAAACAATAAAGTTTCGAAACGTCGACAATTTAGAAATTGGATTTCTTCAACATTTTGACCGAATTCCCGCCAACTTGACAATCAAAATCATAAGGAAGAAATTGAATACTTCCGGCCATAACGTGAGCTGCTGTGACAAAACTCTTCAGAATTGGATAAAGAAACTAGGATTTAGATTTATATTAATAAACAAACGTCAAGCAGTTATGGAAAACAGAAAAATAGTGGCATTGCGTAACAAATACTTGAAACAAATAACTGAATATAGATAAGAACAACCGCAAATTTTCTATTTGGACGAAACTTGGTATGACACTCACGACACAGTTACGAAAGGGTGGACTGATGGTTCAAGAATGTGTACTCCTAACATGCCTGCAAACAAAGGCTCGCGACTAATCATTGTACATTGCGGAGGAAGTGACGGATGGGTTTTGAATTTTTTTAAATTATGTGGAAAAAACTTGAGGACTGCAATGTTGACTATCATAAGAACATGGAAGCTAATATTTTCGAGGAATTATTTGAAAACACATTGATCCCAAATTTGGATGCTAATAGTGTAATAGTTCTTGACAACGCTACCATTGTCGACAACTCATCAAAGTACCGAATAAAAATTCGAAGAAAGATGAAAAACAAAAGTTTGTTAATGGATAACCATTTGTATTTTGAAGATTACTATACCAAAAACCAACTACTTGAAGTTTCACAGACAAAAACATTTGAAAAAGTGTATGCCCTTGAGAGTGTTGCTGAAAAGTATGGACACACCCCTACTTTGCGTTTTCAATACCATCGAGTTGATTTGGGAAAATTAAAACGAAGTATCAGGCGTAAAAATAATTTTCCAAAATTTGATAAGAAGGTAATAGATCTAATTAAAAAAGAAGTATATAATATTAACGTAAGTTACAAAAAGGATTTGAAGCTCTATGACTTCTATTTGATTATCTGCGAGCGCTTTCGACAGCTAGTCGTGCTGTCATCTTCTAGGCACTCTTCTATCTAGTATACAGGGTGTCCCTGGACTTCCTCTTTTCCTCTCGGGACATTGTGATTCTTATATAATCAGAAATGATTATTGTATAACGAAATTAGTTAGCTCCCTAACTATATTATTAAAGAGGAGCTGTTGGAAGGTAGGTTGCACTACATCGTTTACTTGAACTATTATACATTTTTGACATACATACGAATCAACCTTATTTCTGTATTACAGTTTTTTATTCTTGAAAATATACAATTATACGAGTATTTCATCATTTCTATGATCTTTGGCACATAGATTAATTGGAATGTATACTTTGAACAGTCGATTCCGAAGACAGAAAAGCCAGCAAAGTTCTGCCCGAATAGGACAGACACACCGGGTGCTTTATAAGATCAGTTAAATTTATTATGCAAACATGTAGTTGCATATAATAAAAAAAAATCATCCCGTTATTGGGATCGTCTCGCATTCACGGCCTCCTATTCATCCTCGAGCGTCTATTACACGGTGAATGAGATCAAAATATGATATAAAACTCTCCTTAATGTCTAGTTGACATTCGTAAAGGCTTGCTTTTGAATATCAAGTACTGCTTTGTACGTATACATATGGTTTTGCATTCACACAAGCACACATGTGTTGTCTTTTCGTTTATTTTTTTTCTCGCAAACATTTTACATGTTTGCTCTCCGCTCCTCACAGATCAGGCTTCCTTTTAACTTCGCTCTTGTGTATGTAATGCTGAATATGTTTGATTGCAGTGGCGGGACGGACGGATTGGCAAAGGCTTGCAAGAATAGAGTACTAAAAAATACATCCAATAAAAACGTATCAATGCAGAGTTCTCACGGTTGAAGATAAGAAAAAAATTGCTCGTACTCATTTTCAACTTCTTTTACTTCCTTGATTCCGACATAAACTTCTCTGAGCCCAAAGACTCCACTTTGAAATTGCTGGAATTTTTGTGTCATTTCTTCAGACATTGGAAATGTTCCTCCAGTCGCCGGACTAAAGGATTGTGTTGTTGAAAATGTTCAGAATTCTCCGTTCTTCTTTTTTATTTCCCGTGTCCCAATTCGTTCATTCAGCTTTTTCTTGTTTTCCAATTTTAACATTTTTATATCTACCTAATTTTTTGCTTTTTATGTGGTCACTCTCATTATATTTCCGAATACAGTCCTTTCTTTTTAGTTTCATTATAATAACATTTATATTTTGTATATAGGAATATTTCCTGTATATATTTGTCAGTATCAAGATATTTTTCTATTAGTATATAATGCATGAATACTTTATTCTGAAGTGAAATTGACAAATGAAACTTTCAAGATGGCGACTGGGCGCCATCTGGGAAAAAAATTAAATGGAAAGGGGGGTCTTATGACACATCATTTTGAAGCTCCTGACGAATACTTCACAACCTTAGAATATGAAGTCAATATCTTCACTTACTATAAAATGGCTGAACATTAAATAATTTCCTGAAGACAAGCACATTATTATTTCCAGAAATATTACTTTTTATCTACCATATGGCAATTCCAACAACCCGATAAGGTTTGTTAAATTATTTTTTGTTTATAAAAACGTCAAAAAATGTCAGTACGACAATGAACATCATTATTCAGTTAGAATATTCTCATTCAGTTTTCGGTTTTACTAGTAAAAAGGTACCACGTCAACAATCTCTAAAATGGTCAATTCTCGTCCATTGGAAGAAAAAATTGAAGCGGTTTTTATTTACGGTACGACGCGTAACTTTCACGAGACCGAAAGGATTTTCAACTAACGTTTTCCGAATCGTCCTATCTGTAGAAAATATTTGAGGAAACTTGTATGCAAATGTACAACTACCGGTAGTGTAGTTCCCAGGTCATCCGTCCATTCCGGAAGAATAGCAGGTGCTATTAATTGGTGAGATTGTAGTAAATCCTGAACAGTCTACTTATTCCGTCGTGAATGTTTGTAAGGTGTCTCCTTCTATTGTGTGGAGACTTTTGAAGAGGAATAGGTATCATCCATACAAAATTAAAATGGTACACTAATTAACTGAAGATGACCCTAATCGAAGAACAAAATTCCACGAAATCATGACGGAAACCATTGCAAGGCATCCTACCTATCTCCACAATATTTGTTTTAGTGACGAATGTAAATTTTTTCAAACGACAATGTTCACAGACAAAATTGCCGTTATTGCCTCACGTTTTCCGGGAAACATATACCCAATATCCAGAAAAAATAACCATTTGGGCAGGAATATTGGGAAACCATATTGTAGGATCTCTATTTACTGATCAAAATTTGACAGGGAAACTGAATTTGAATATGCTGGAAACTACTGATGAGCCTCTCATCACTGAAATCGTCGAAGCGAATCATAATGAATTCGATATGGATATTGTATTCCAACAAGATGGAGCAACACAACATTAATCCAGACAAGTAAGAAACTATTTGGATACTACTTTTCCCGGTCGTTGGATTGGCCGTCGAAGTCCTACAGAATGGCCAGCCTGCTTGCCAGATTTGACACCTTTGGTGTCGATAATTCTTCGAAATATTCTCAAATGAACGAACAATGATATTCGTTTCCATAGTGACGTCACGTCGCTCTACTTTGTTCCAATGACAGTCAATATAATTTTTACCATAACTACTAGTATAAAAGAAAGTCGCTTCCAGCTGTCTATCCCTATGTATACTTTGATCTTTAAAACTACGCAACGGATTATGATGAGGTTTTTTTTAATAGATACAGGAATAGAAGAGGAAGGTTTAATTAATAACATGCGTAATATAGTAAAGAAAACTGATAATTTTAGAGGTTTCAATTGTGATGTCGTAATAAACACATTTTTTTGCGCTTACATTGCAAACGCTGTCTGAATTCAATGAGATAGATAAAAAAAATAAACTACAGTTCTGAACACTTTAAAGTGGTCTACAAAAAAGTCCGCGATGGTATATGTCTATATGTCTATCAATACAACATTAATCCTTATCCAATTAAGTTCCTTAAATACATTGTGCATTCAATATAGATCAATGTGGCCCCTTACAGCATGTAATTTAAATGAATATTTTCGAAGATATTACAGATTTAAAATGCACCGATTGCACGAGTTTATATGTATATTTAGTATCAGCAGGGCACACGTGCGGAGCCTGGGCGGCTCGCTAGTTATCAATAAGGAAAAATCAGGAGAAGAAAAGCACTTGCTTCGTATTTGTAATCAACCAGCTATTGTTTCCTCACCAACGACAGCCCTCAGAAGACTAATGCCAACTTGGGATTAACGAGGTCTTATTTTTCACCTTGCCATTCCTAGCTCGGTGAAAGTTACAGTTATTCTCATCAATACGTAGGCATTAATTGATGTTTCTTTTTTTCAGGAGTGGGAGTGTCTAGGAGTTCAAAATTCAGTAAGTATTTAATAACCTTTTCAAAAACACTTCAATGCCAGATTCTTGACTACGATCAATTAGAAGTATTTCGAATATCAAAGAGATTTGAAATCTTAAAATTCGGAAGAAGAAATGATGTATAATGATCCATTTGAAAAGGTAGAACTAGAACCCTATAGAATTTTCAGCTTCACCTTTACATCCGGTTTATTTCTAATGCAATTAAGATTTCTGATACTATTCATCTTCATCTAGTGAAAAAATTTATTTTTTGTAGCAAATTCAATATTAAGTTGTTGCAAAAGTTTTGTCCATTTTTATGAGTCTACTTTATACTGTAATATCTCAGTGAATACTTATTCAATGTAATTGAAATAAGCACCATTTGAATCAGTGTACTTCGGCCAACGTAACACAAATCGATTAGTTCCGTCCGTGTGCTCGGGATTCGATGAAGTCGACGAAAGCCGTTTTTGCCTTATCCTAATTGGCGAAGGTTCTACCGCTGAGAAAGTGATCGAAGTGCTTGGAAGGGTGGTGATCGATTTCCTCACAATAGGACTCTGCTGTGAGGTTTGGCACGGTTGTAGAAAGTTATAGTGGATCACACCGGCCGCTTCAGTAACTATAATCTTTTTTGGTAAGTTTTCGCTTTTAGAAAGTGCCTGGGTGGCTCATCTGTGTCTAACCACTGCCATGAATGTTACTTGTCTCTTTATTTGGCGGGTTTTCGCCTTTGGAAAGTGCCTGGGTGGCCCAACTATGTCCAACCAATGTCCTGAACGTCTCTTGTTTCTTTTTTGGTGAGTTTTCGCTTTTGGAAAGTGCCTGAGTGGCACTTCAGGACAATGGTTGTGTCCAACCATTGTCCTGAAGGTCTCTTGTCTCTTTTTTGGTGGGGTTTCGCCTTTGAGAAGTGCCTGGGTGGCTCAACTATGTCCAACCACTGTCCTGAACGTCTCTTGTCTCTTTTTTGGCGGCTTTTCGCCTTTGAGAAGTGCTTGGATGGTTCAACTATATCCAACTAATGTCCTGAACGTCTCTTGTATCTTTTTTGGCGGGTTTTCGCCTTTGGAAAGTGCTTAGGTGGCTCATCAGTGTCCAACCACTGTCCTGAAGATCTGTTGTCTCTTTTTTGGTGGGTTTTCGCCTTTGAGAAGTGCCTGGATGGCTCAACTATGTCCAACCAATGTCCTGAACATCTCTTGTCTCTTTTTTGGTGGGTTTTCGCCTTTGAGAAGTGCTTGGATTGTTCAACTATGTCCAACCACTGTCCTGAAGGTCTCTTGTCTCTTTTTTGGTGGGTTTTCGCCTTTGAGAAGTGCCTGGGGGGCTCATCTGTGTCCAACCACTATCCTGAAGATCTCTTGTTTTTTTTTTGGAAAGTGCCTGGGTGGTTCATCTGTGTCCAACCACTGTCCTGAAGAACTCTTGTCTCTTTTTTGAAAAGTGCCTGGGTAGTTCATCTGTGTCCAACCACCGTCGTGAATGTCTCTTGTGGTAGAGGATCCACTTTTCACTCGTGAGGATCCGATCCAAAAAATGATCGCTGTGGTTGCGCAAAAGCAAACTACCAAGGAGATGGAAAGGTTCCTATTTGGTGGTCAAGAACATAAACGACTTGGTCTGTCGCCTCTAGTCAACCAAATAGCAAACCACTGACTGGCTCTCTACAATGGTTATGGTTCACCTAGATGATTTTCTAAGAATCAAATAGATCAGACACACGGAATGGAAGAATTTGAAGAGTAGGGTAATGCTACGCCCATGGTGAGTGAATATACGAGCCGCCACTGGCAAAAGTTTGATAACTCGGCATGATATCACATTAAAACACTCATGGGCAACCTATTGGTTCTGATGAGCAAACGTGAAAACACTGAAATACAATCGTGAACTATAGGGACAGTTTGTAGTTTGCATATTAGTTTAGAACGTGGATAATTTCGGACAAGCCAGGTGTGAGAAAAACAAACCGGTGGTATTTAAGATAGTTATAAATTGTAGTTGAACAATATGTTTGTAATTCTGAATCAATTATTATTCAATGTAACTTAGAACCGAGGTTTTTTTCAATAAAATACGTCACCGGGACATAAACTATAGTTTTTGGGGTCGTGGATGAATTTTGAAGGGTATGAAAATTTAATTGAGATTTTCTTCAAGATAAAGACATTAACTAGAACGTTTTTCAGTTACTTTCTTGTATAATTAATTATTCCTCATCAAAATTTTTCGTTCACTATCGGGCACTGTAAATCCAAAACGTTAAGTCTCGATCGAAGTTTTCATCGCCACTTCATTGCATTCACCTTTTTTTTTTATAAATGTATTCTCATTCCTCAGCTGAATTCTGAATGATCTAAAAATAACACTCGAAGCGATATATGCGGTTTTGAGAAGGCGAAATAGTTATTTTCAACTACCTACACACTTTGTGGACACAAAATATAAATTTGTTCTATTGATAGTCCAGCAAAATTACACGTATTCTCACAACAATAATATTTAGATAAGAGAAAATAACACTGAATGTTCTCTATTTCGTAATAATTGATTGATGGAACCAAGATTCGTACGATAGGTTGAAATTGTTTTCAGTGAAGGTCAACTTATTTGCGGTTTCTGCATTAAGTATTTGATAAAAATCATTACATCGGAAAAGATAATGTCTTGTGAAATTGGTGACAAAATAGTGTTCCTTGAATGGAAAGTAGTTTTTGACGAGTAAAACAATATATTTTTTCTATGAACATGTTATAACCCATTCCATTGCCTCATACAGGAAAAATGCCTGCACTTCATCTATGATTCAAACAAATCATTAAATTTTTGCTTTTCCAATTCTGAGTACGTTGCTTATACTAAATGATCGAGTTCATAGGAAAAGGACATCCTCTCTATTAAAAAATCTGTAGAGGAAGCGGAGAAACTGAAAATTAAATCACTGCTGGTAGCACTTCCATGTGCTTTCATAGTTATTCGACAGAAAACAAGCTTTCTCACATTTTGATTAGTAGTGGTAATATTTACAAAAACTTCTTCTTTCCTGTACTACATCAATTCACTTGAAATAAGTTTCCTTCATCAAAAATATCAAATCCTCCGTTTGATGTAGATACTTTGTCAAAAATTATTACATAAATTGCTTGTTATTAGCTCTTAGTTCTGTCGAGCACTTGGATCTCTTTAAACGCGATAACTTGGGTTCACACTTGGACTGTATGCTTCAGGATGAAATTTCATCTGTAGTTCATTGTAGTTCTCTTCGTGGTTTCAGTATAAACCGATCCATAGCTATAAGCGATCTGCTATATAACTTTAGACTCTTTCAGATGGTTTTTATTGGCCCGAATACCAATTCAACATATTGTTTCTACAGAATTGTCCCAAAATATTGTTGTAATACAGTTTCATTGTATTTAAAAAAATCTCTATAAAATATGTTTTTCCGTTAACCAGCTGTCGCACCCTTACGAACAACAACCCTCAGAAATCGAAACTTGTGCGAGCTAAGGATACCCCAGGTCTTACCTTTTAACGTGTGATTCCTGACACGGGTTGCACGATAGCAAGTGAAAATGGATCGTTCAGACTAAGGATTCAATCACCGACCAACACGGTAGTCAATTCGAGTGAGTGAACAAAGCACCCACGTTGAACCGCCTGGCTACCGACCGACCGAATTTCAGAAATATACATTTGCAATACCTCAATACCAACGAAAATTGGAAAAATATATTGAAACTATTGTACAAGGTGAGGCAAAAGTACATATTTAATTAATTTGATGATATTAAATTGAAAAAAAAATAAGATGTTTGTCAGGAATTTCTTCAGTATGTTCAAGAAAGTTGTAAATACCACTGAGCCACTTTTCCAAAGAGTTTTTCCATCCATTTCCCCGTTGCAATCTGCGGCTTTTTTAGATACAAAAGCCCACAGAGGCTCCCTTACAAATCACTTCTAATGTGGCAATCTATCAGCCTTTGTAAATACCACTGAGTGCGGTACATTGTCTTTGAACAGTTTTGAAGTTTCTATGACATGTACGAAAGTACGAAAATAGCATGTTTTAGTTTTCGAAATGAAAGAAATACAAATATTCATATTGGGTAAAGATTATTTCGTTTGTATTTTGCCAGTCTAGTTCGCCAGAAGACGTGTCACTATTATGCACATCTGTTATAAATTGTTCAATGTGTTGCTTTATGATATTATATCAGCCCAAATTAACTCAAAGGGATTAACTTCGCAGTGATATGGTGATTGAACAATTTCACTTCGAGCTATATATCTTTCATCAATAACATTCATCAGTATCAAATGTTTTATGCTCATTAACTATTGCTAATAGTTTCAAGTAATGTTTCATCATCTAGAACGCAGCTACTCTTGAATATCAGATTTCCTTGATGCTGAAGTTGGAATTTTTTCCAGTTTCCTAGAATGATACGGGACATTTTCTAATACAACAAATACAGTTATTATTAAGTTTCGGAAAAATACACAGCAGAATCCTTTTGTGAGGAAACTGACGAAAAGTAACGAAAATTGAGTCAGCAGCACAGGTCAACAAAAGAGGCCAGATCCTGCTCCACGGCAACGCCCGTCCGCACGTTTCATAAATCACCCTCCGAAAATTAAACGAATTGAGAGTCTGAATGATGTAATACGATTATATATTATCTTTTGGGCGTTTTAAACCTGTTGAAAGTACACCAAAAAATGTCCGCCTTGAGAAAATGACAGAATGATCAACTCAAATTTTTGATATGGTATATTCGGCATTTACCCAAGTGTCATCTACAAAATAAATCTTTCCATTTTCACTCCTGTAGGATATTTTTTTAACACTATAATATCCATAGCACTATTTCATCCCTGTTTAAAAGCACCTAATTCTTTCTCGTTTTTCTTTTTTTTTTTCATTATTTATTTATTTACATTCGCATCGACCTCTAGGGTCATTAGCGACTTGTAGATATATTACATGTTTATGAAAAAAAAAGAGTATG